GTTGCATGGAAAACACTGATTACAGCTTCTTCTTTATATATATATGTCAGTTTATGGTAATATTTAAAACTTTTAGTTTCAAAATTGCCTTTTTATTTATTAGCAATACAGCCTATGTCTTTGTAATGAATCTTATATTAATAAAAGGATTTTTTACAAGAATAAAAGTTAAATTCTATAACTTTCAAAGAGAGATTTTGTTTAATACTGTTCTCAGCCAGCTTATTGTTTTCCATATTATTTGATTCTCCTTAAATCCCAGTTTTAATATTATCTGAAAAGTACTTGGGTACTGAAAGTTTTGAAATGGAAAAAAACCCCCACCACAATAGCTTCTTTTAGTATAAGAATGTTATAATAATATAAAAAGGATGTTGAAGATAATATAATTTTGTTCATTTAAGCAAAAGGATGAAATGAATAAAACCATATGCTGTGAGCTGCCTACTATTGCTTCTTCCAATGTTCTATGAACATAAAATCTGTATAATAATTTCTAATAATTGGAGCATTTGAAGACGAGGCTATGGCTATAGATTCTGGGAAAGAGAGACAAGATTGAATTAAAGTCATTTTAGTAATTGGTCCATCTTCTACAGTGCAAACCAATTTAATTTATTATTGAAGCTTATAATCAGGAATAGGTTTGAGTAGATGTTTTTAATCAGCTTGTAGGCTAAAGTATATATAGATTCATTTGTTTTAACATAAACTATACTGTACACCCACCTTTGTCTCTTCAGTGTGTAATTCACCTATTGAGTTTAGAATGCTTTAGTTCATATCAGACTTAGGTGCTATTAAATGGTAGTTTTTACCCACTCATACTCTAGTTAAGTGGTTTGCAAGCATTTAGCAGACTCTGGTTTTTCAGCAACATGTAAATAAGATGCTATTCATCAGGGAGGTGAGTAACCTATATGTCCTTGCTGAGTTGGATGCATAATACTATATATTAGATGAGTCAGTCATGTAAAAAAATTAATAAATATAAAATGTATATAAGCATAAACAGATTTTTAAAAAATATAGTTATAAAACTATATGTTTTAGTTTCCAGTAATTTTAATATTTTTTCAATTAATGTCAATTAAAAACCATGACATTCATACTGATTTGCATGTTCTTCTGTATATATACTATGTAAATTTGCTCACTTTACCTGAGATATAAGCAAACATATACACAACTAACTTTGTGAGGGCTGCATTGACTTTTAGGTCTTGCTGCTTTCTGAATATTTTATTTGAATATATCCAAATAGGGGAAGTAAGGCCTTTGTTCTTTATGCTTAAAGGAAAAGGATAATGACTCTAAAGCTCTACTCAGGAGTAGTACAGTCATAGCTATGAATAGTGAACACATTTATGAACCTCTGACAGCACATAATGCTTAGTGATTATGAATCACTGGTGTTCTTGTTTCTCTCTATATTTCCTAGTACTCTTATTTGTCTATGTCCCTGGTATATATTCTGAATCTCAATGTCATTTCCCCTCGTATTTGTGTTCTGCAGTCAGTTATGAATAAAGAGAATTTGTCCTGCCCCCCCGCCCCCCAAATTTGGGGAAACAGCTGTTTTTTCCCTCCAGGGATATACCAATATTTTCTTTTAAATGATAGATTACAATGGGTATGATGCAAAAGGAATTGGTCTGTTTGGAAATAACACAATAACACAAATAACACAATCAATCAATAAACTAGCATGCGAAAGAGAAATAATGCTTCCCTCACTACAAGTGTCTTTCAGAAGAAGCAGAAACTGCTAATTAAAGTACTATCAGAAAATAAGTCTGATTAGGCTACATTTTATATGTTAAACTGTGTATTCTGAATCTTGGTCCTCCCCTGCTCCCTGCTTTTTTCAGCTTTTTCTTTGGAAATCTGTTGGATACAATGGAGAACAAAGTCCAGAATAGAGACTTTTACAAACCAAATGTTGACAGTTTCTTCAGTTGTAGTGGTTATTTTTTCCTTGTCTGCTTTTCTTCAACAAGCAAAATGCTATATTCCTTCAAGTTCATCACCTTGTACTTCCATTTTTAACAAACATTAAAAATATTTTTAAACCAATCAATAATTGTTTGAATTAGCTGTATTTTTCAATTTTATATACTCAAACCATATTTTTATGAGCAAACCACATTATACACAATAGATTTTTTAAAAGTAAAAAAGTGACTTTCTATCTGTGAAGGGTGCTAAACATTAAGAGTAATATGTATTTCAATTTTACCCCAAATGTCTGTTTCATCTCCTAGAAAAGGTTTTTTTCCACACCTCCTCAACATTTTTGAGTCAAACCCTGGAATAATGTTCTTCCTCTGAATATTAGATTGTGTTTTTTGATAAACAGGCAGCACAAATAACCTAGTCATATTGGCATCTTAGTGGGGGAAAGGCTTGATGGTTTTTAGTCCTTACTGCAAAGCAAATCCAACCTGGGAGCCCTCACCTGAAATTTATATTGGAATTTGGTTTTTCATGGAAACGCTGATTTGTTTGTAAAAATCATTTATGCATTAAGGGCAAAATTCTGCAATTGAAGTCACTTGTAATGAAATAAATGAATTACAATAGTACTATGACACATTAGAAAAGGAATATAGCATGAATCAACTAGTTTTTAAAATCATACATGCAAATATCTATTTAGAATAGTGAACTTTTTCAGGATTGACTGATTCTACAAGTGCAGTATAAGTTAAGGATGATCTTTCTGATCAGAATTGAACCTTAGTTTTTATATGATTTTGCAGTTTGGACTCTAAGATTTTTAACAACTTTATGGGGAAAAAAAGTGAGGAGGAAGAAAGTAAAAATGAATGTAAGATAAAATCACCGTAACATAATATGTAGAGAGAGTGTTTATGTTGTGTTGGCACTAGCATTTACATAATTGTACATATTTCAGGCATATGGTCAAGTGAATTCTGGGAGGAAGAGACAGAAAACTGAACTAAAAGTCAAAAGTGCTGGTTTGGCACATTTTATATAAATTGTTCCTTGTAATAGAAGCAAATACAAAGAAAAATCTCAAACCTCTTAATTTTACTTTTAGTTTTAAGACTTTGCTGTTTCTTTTCCATCGGTTGAATATGCTAGAGGAAGCTCTAACTCCTTATTTATATATGCTGGCTGTGTTGTAGTGTTGCATTCATCACTTGCATCAGTACTTAAGTGCAAGTAGTCCCCAGTTTAAGAACGAGTCCATTCCCAAGATCTGTCCTTAAGTCAAATTTGTACGTAAGCCAAAACAGTATTATTGTATAATACTGTATTAGTATTGTATAATGAACTCAAACCACTGTGTATTTAACTTGAATTTTGCTACAATAAACTGTGTTCTTAACTATGTTGTCTGTAACCCAGGCGTTCTTAACCCGGGGACTACCTGTACATCAGTAGTTTCCTGACTACTTCCTGAAAAAATATGCACAAAACCCTTCACTTTGCATGTTTACTTTAAGAACTTTGTAATTTAAGTCATGAAATATATCCAAGCCCTACAATCAGCCATAAGACCTCTGCTAACAGGTCTCATATTAAGATCTGTTGCTTTGATAGTCACAAGACACAGGGCTTCTTCAGTGGTTGTGCCACAGTTGTATTTCCTTCCACTGGTTATGTCTGGTGAATCTTTAATGGATCTTAAATACTAGTTTATTCAACCATATTCAGCCTTTCTGAGGCAACAAAACATTAATGCCATTATATGATAGACATACAGATATGAAAAGCTTAAGAGATTCAGTATACATAGTTAAAGGTTTGAATTATTCTATTAGGTGTAAAAAGGCATGCACAAAATAAATTCTCAGATAAGCATCTAGAAACAACTGAAATCAGTTCTGCTGTACTTGAAATGTATAGCCTGTTTTTGTGTCATGGATATGGCATGTTTTAAAGTTAAATCAGTGCTGTAAATCATTTTGGCCAAGCAAAAATTATTACAGGGAACAACTTCTATGTCTATAATTATTATATCTTTAACATGCACTAATCAGTTGCTTGTTCTGGGTGAAAGCAACTTCTAAAACCACAGATAAAGAAGACACACATTGATAATTTTGGTACAATGGAAGGAATCAAAGAGGGAATGTTTACTGAAGCAGGGAAAGCATGAGCTACACAAAGCAGTTATGAGGTATGGAGATGTTGAAACAGAGGGTTGTATTTGTTAAAATACAGCCACTGAATTAACTAGCAAATGCAGGCATTATGTTTTTTAGAAGGGTAAAAAGAGTGCAAGTGAGATGCCAAAAGCACAGAAGTTGCAATTATCAGATAAAAACTTAATTAGCCAAGTCTGAGTAAATAGCTGTGCTTGTTAAGTATGTTGTGAGCAATACTTGTAAAAAAAATATATAGAACAAAGGCATAACAATATGTGGGGATATTTAAAATACTCTGCACTTCATTTTTATGAAATGACGCTATTATTCTGGGCAGTTTCAGCATTCTGAACAATGTTTTCTGCTGCCTCCCAGCCTCCTCTGGTTTTAAATAATTAATGAAAGAGTTCTTGGGTAACCGTATAGCAGATATTATTAGCTTTAACATGACCCTTTGGTTTATGACAAGTATTTGTAAGCAATATATTTTAATTTTAATATTCTTTAAAAGCAATTCTGTTACCAGAGGCATGTTTATTTTAGAAGTACTTTTGTACTAAAGCAAATGTATTATAAGATCATTATAGACACAATGAAAAAGAAAGGTCATCTGCAGCATTAGGACATTAGTGTGAAGCTAGATGCTAAATTATAATTTTCAGGTACTGTGAGTCAGGAATAATTTATTCATTAAAGTAATCCATATTAATAAAACAAGTTGACACATATGTTGCATATGCTTTTCAAGCAGTTCTGACACCTTCAGAGTAAGTACTCTAAGGACAGAAATATGGAAATTGCTGAGCAGAATTCATGCAAGCTGTTTTTTTTTTCCAAATGAGATGCTTGTACATATTAAAAAAGATTCCAAAATCAGCTTACCCTTCTCTATGAGCTTCTCCTTTTTCCAACTCCTGAATAACACCCAACAAGACCTTTATGGTTTCCTGACTTGAGCTGATCAAGTTCTCCATCATCTGTAGCTGTGCTTTCAAATCTACCACTTCTGTGTGAGGCACAATTTGTTGACATCCTTCGCTCACAGCAACTGCTGTCTGACAAGGCTGTTTTCCTTCCATGTGTGAAACATTTACCTGAAGGGTCTGCTCATTACATTTGGTAGACTGGCATTGTGCCTGTGTTGAACAGGCCTGAGCTGTACTTACAGCTTGTGACTGCAGACCATTAAGATGCAGAGTTCTTTTTCTGTCCTCCTCCTCCTCGGCTGGACACAGGGACCAGTCATTCCCTGCTGCTGCTGCTGCTGCTGCTGCTGCAGAATGCTGCTGGTCAGCCTGTGAAGTGAGTGAACCAGATGCAGGCAAGTAGACAGAAGCTACTTCTGTCTTGAACACTTTTCCTTGGCTGGCTGGATTAGCTTCCTCATTCCTCAGTGGCCCAGTGTGGTGTTTTGCTTTGTCATGCAGCTGGTAATCAGGCTCTTCTAAAACTGAAGCTGCCGAGTTCTGAAGAGAAGGAGGTTCTTTACTACAGCTGTGCAAATCAGTGCTTATACATGTCTCCAAACAGTTGTCCCTAGAAGGCGGCTCTATTGCGTTCATGCGTTCATTAGTATGTGAAATAAATTCAGCTGTCACAAATCCAGTGATTTTCTTGCTACACTGAACAGCCTCTCCTGAGATTTTGCTGTCTTTCTCTTTGACATCGATTAGGAATCCATTGTTTTGACTTGGAAAAGTATCAACGGAGGCTATGCTTTTGATTATGCTTCCCTTTTTCCGATCCAAAGGGAACGTCTGGTAACACTTTTTAAGTTCAGGTGAAGTCTGAACTCCTGTACTTTTAGTAACATTAGGGATTGATCTTCGGGCAGGCACTGTCATGTATTTCCGGTAAGCTGCTCTGTAAGAGATGGATTTTGCTTCCTTTTTGTCAGTCTGCTGTAACAGAGAGAGTTGTTTGTCCCTTTGCTCATTCTGGGCCTCGCAGATGTCTTTGAATCTCACCTGCAGGGCTTTGTTTCTTTTCTTGATCTGCCGATTGGGATCCAATGCATATTTCATCTCTAAGGCAAGTGATGCTGCTGAATCAACTTCACTCTCAGAGGCTGTAAGCAAGCTTTTGCTGGGTTCCTCACTTCCCATGGTACCTGAAGTCAAAAGCAATGTTAGGAAGACTATTACTACCCTAAGCATGTATATTTTTATTCAAACGGGATCATTTTTGTAAAAAAATAAAGTTTAGGACCTTCTGGCTGCCTAAAAATGGATCCTCACTTTTTGGGAGAGGGTGAGGTAGGGGCTTTTTCTGCATTATAAAATGGATTAGTAGATTAGAACATTAAAAAGAATAGCAACATACGTGACATGACAGAAACAAATGAAAAAATCCAAAGGACACATGAAATATTTAAAAATGTGCAGGTTTTCAAATTAGCTAGAATTCCTGTTAGATGGGGTGATACGACAATTGGGCTAGATTTTTTGGGTCTGAGATGGTTTAGACTCAGACTAAATACTGAAATTATAAATGGAGCTGTCACTAGTAGTTGTAGACATCAGATTACATCCTAATACAAATAAACAAGGGGTGATTCCCTCCTTCCCCATTTCAGAAAATAGTCTCTTTTCTGCTTTTTGCATTAGCAGAGTATAGCCTTGGGTAGGGTAGGGTAGTGTTTTCAAAAAACTTTATGTACTTTATTTTAGGAAACTTTGCAATAACTATCAAAAATCAGTCACCACTCTTTTGAGAACATACATGACATAGGAACTATTCCTGAACTTGAATGTTATTCACATTCCTGAGTTGTAAAGTTCGCTGTGTGTTTTAGGGCATAGATTCTTAGCCTAATCCCACCTCCCATAATCCTTGTATATATAAGGGGTAGGTGGAAGAAACTAATATACTCTGCTGCCCTGGGATTCTTGGAACTAGAATAGGATAGAACTGCACTTTAAAAAACTAACTTGATTACAAGGAAGCCAAGACTTAAGTGCTTGAATTTGAATTGTCTTAGGCTGATATCACTTATTGTCATATCACTGTCCTCCAGATGTTAATGAGACAGTAAGCCTTTAAAAATGCACTATGCACATAAAAAAGGATGTATGCATAATGTTCTCCATGAAGTTTAAATGGACAGAACAGTCCTTGCTTAAGCACATATCATTAAAAGAGTACTGAAGCCTGGCCAAATTCACAACTATTGGCTATGGCTGAATGTCCTCTCTATTCATGGGAAAATCATTATTTCTATAGTGAGGAAAGGTGAGAGGGGAAAAAAGCAACTGAAACAATTATAAAAATAAATGTCATATATTATGTTTGAATGCTATACTGGGGGTTATTTTCATTCTGCAGAATGATTGTCACTGAATAATTTTGGTAACTAACATAACTTTATAATTTACCTTCTCCTTGGAGGTTCTTCATTTCATTGGCTACAGTTATGTTTGATGACAGCATAATTAACTCCTGAAGAGATTATAGATAAAAATACCTTACTGTAAACTTAAAGTCATAAAAATAAAAAACCTAAATTTATGATTTTAAGTTTAATTTAGGCCATGAAGTTAAATCTCTAGTCTCTGCAGAAGCCTAAATTAAAGAAATTCTAGGATAAACAGATCTGCATTTATTACTAGTCATTTTATGCTGGAAATGGAACTGAATGCAAATTGGGTGATGTTCCTTATTTTTAAGAATAATGCATAAGGGAAATGTTGCTATGTATAAGCAGCCATCTATTTTTAAAAATGTTCCTATTTCTTTGTAGGCAAAGTTAATAGTTCTGAAAATGTGACCCTCCTGAACCATCCACATTTATTGGGTTTCAAATTACCAAAGAATCAATGTTCTAGAAGAAAAATACTACCTTGCTTTTTAATATTTATATATCAACGGCATACTTTTATAGAGTATTCAAACTGAAATAAGGAAATGTTAATTTTAAATGGCAAAATATTAGAGCTTGTGCTGCATATTTAATATCCCTACTGTGTTCAATTGTTAAATGTTACTAAGCTGTTGCAGGTGGCTGCTTCCACTTATGGAATACTCAGAGGGCCACACCTTAGTTTATTACCTTGCTTCACACCTATTTTAAACACATAGCTTATTTTCCTGTCTTAGGAATGAAATAAACTATTTCTGAAGAACAATGGCAAATTGCATGAGAAGACAATTTAACCATGGTTAATTTTTTTACCAATTTTCATAATGCCTTTGGGTTGAACAGTGTAGAAAAGGTGTGAGTGAAAATTCAAAAAATTAAAGCTTGCTTATTTTGTTACAGAATAAATTGAAGAAACAAACCAGGAAAAAACATACTTAAAATGGAATAACCAATCTTTTTTGCTTTTATAGGTCAGTGTAAATTTGATCCGGACTTAAAATAAATGAATAACCAAAACAAAAAAACTAGCAAAGATATTGAAAACTATAGAGGATTGGCAGGAATTTGGTAGAGTTTAGAAATAAATGAAATATTTTATTTTATGTGCCCAAAAGCCAAGTAGTTAAATTGTCTTCTCGAGAAGGAAATATTTACCTTTGCATAAAATAGCAGTGGTATATAAAATCATTTGGTGGCATGGGAAAAGGGAAAGGAGAGATCAGAAAGTTAAGCATACCAGTAAGTATACTTAATAGCTTACAGCTTCTGAAAACCAAACCAGTAACTTTATTACCTTGAAGATGAAATGTGCATTCAATTTCACTCAGTCAACCAAGAAAATAAATTCAAAATAGTTCACAAACTCCATTCATTTTAGCTACTCTGAAAGTACTGAAGGAATACTGTTTAAAAGACAAAAGCAAAAATCTCTCCATTCCTTAATATGGGCATTTCTGTACATTCATTACCTTGGTGCAAGTGTAGTTAGTGATGGTGGTCAGTAAATAAGAATCCTGTCTGCTTCAAGCACTGTAAATACATGTATTATTATACAGAACTAAATATATGTGAGATACAAAGTGACTTTGCAGACAGTAATTTGAGGGGTGAATTCTTCGTTTGCTAAGACTCTTAGGTGCGTAAGTTCTGTTTGCCTCCTCTTTAGAAAATGAAACGTGCTCTGTGATTTTTATTTCTATACCAGATCACTGTAAAGTCACTGGGATCCTTTTAGTTTTCCTGCCTGATAGATATTTGGATCAACTAAAATTAAATACAGTACAACATAGTAGACTGCAGATAATTGTTCACCTATTTCACAGGATGGGGAAAAATAGGTAAGGCACTACACTTAGATATAAGTGGATACCAAATAAAAATACTAAATATAGAACAGCGAACAACAAACTCATATTTTAGTATCCAATTGCTGATACCTGCATGCTGTTATTTGTTAATTTTATGGTTCAGAAACAGGTAATGGGTTTACCTATTTACTTAAACAGTACTTTTGGAACAAACACTCTGGGATAATACCTTCTAGAAAAAGATGTGGGCTTGGTAGCGTTAATGCTCCAAACCTGTTTGGTAACTCCTTGAAAACCTGGATGTTCTCCTGGACACGTGTCCTGTCGGTTGGGTGAGCTCGTCATTGCAGTTTTCTGTCATGTTACTATGGTTATATAGTTTGTTTTTGATTGCCCTCAGGTGCCATTGTGCTATAATTTTGTCAGTGTTCACCGTTGTTATTTATTCCTTTTGTTCTGTTGGCTTTAATCCTGTGTTCACTGCCCAGAATCGCTATTTTAAGATGGGTGGCTGTATAAACCAATTATATGAATAAATACATTAACACATAGTAAATGGGAACTAATTCTCAAATAAACTTAGCTGTATGATCAATCACTTGTTTAATCACAGTAGTTTAAATTCTTTTTCTTCTCCATTTGGTATTTAACTTGGATGGGGAACTTGGACAAGTTACATAAATATTTTTATATAACTTTCGTGTGTCACAGTGTGTGTATAAAAGTCCTATTAAATGATAAAAATAGATAAAAATAAAACAACTGAAATCCAGTGGCATACCACTTACTTTCATCATTGAGGGATTGTGAGGCTGGAGATGAAAGATTGTGCATCTCATGATCAGTTCCTTTGGCCATCATGTTACTTAGCCTAAAATATAACAAATATATTATTAATAATTGTTTGTATGCAGTACTGGAAAATAAACCCCTTTTTACTTCAATAAATCTTTCTGTTTAGAGAGACACCGAAATAATCCACTCTTCAAGAGAACACAAATGGTGCTACTGTAGACATGATTTTAGAAGTGTTGGCAACCTAACAGTAATCAAACAGAAAGACATCTAGAAATTCATAATATTAAGTACAGCTTTGGGACATTTGTTTAATGAAAACTTTAGCGTATATTTAATTTCACATGCTTGTCCTATTATTATTA